TGAACCACATTCTTCTACTTCACATGGTCAGAAACCTGCTAAAAGGCAAAGGAAAAATGAGAATCCGTCTCGATTACCTGTTCCAGTAAATGACGTTTCTGTCAACAATGGAGTTGGAGATGTAACTAGTATTTCGTACTGCAAAAACACAGCTTGCAAAGCCGCCTTAAGTGAAGCAGATGTGTTTTGTAAAAGATGCTCATGCTGCATTTGTCATAAATATGATGACAACAAAGATCCTAGCCTTTGGTTAATATGTGGCTCTGAGCCTCCATTTCTTGGTGTTTCTTGTGGCTTGTCATGTCATCTTGAGTGTGCTTTAAAGCATGATAATTCTGGCATTGCCAAAGATGGAAAACGTCCCAAGCTTGATGGAAGCTTCTACTGCATCTCATGTGGGAAAGTGAATGATTTGCTCGGGTAATAGTGTATGTTTAACATGTATGTTTTTCAGTTTCTTAGATTACATATGCTCTCCATTTGAAAAATTTGCTGCTGCTCTTCTGTTTCTCTTTTAATCCTTGTGTGCAGGAGTTCTTCATTAAATGTTCTTAAGCAAGTCAATTGATATGAATGATGATTTTTATTTGTTTATTTATTTATTTATGGTAAGCTGTTTTCAGGATCTCCCTTGAGACTCTTGAGATTCTATGGACTTCATAAATTATGTGTACATACACCATCCAATATGCACATTCAAACCTACATAAGCACGTGTGCATGCACATATGTCAAAACTGTCTTCAAGGCCTTCTCCTGACTGCCTAAGCTTTGGGTTGAAATAGCTGTTTTAAAGCCTAGTGACCGAGTACTGGACTCATTTGTCCATCTATTCCTTTTTTATTTCTTTTGAGTTCAACAACTTTTAAGTATGATTGCGAATAGAGTTGTGGTGTTATTTGGTGGTTCACAGTATGCTACTACTATCAGTGAAATTTGTTGTGCATTAGTTGAGGGCGTCTGGATCCATCGAAACTTCTCATTTTTTTTCCTTTGTTTTTTGGGGGGGAGGCGTTTGTGGGGGATTGGGGACATATATCCAGGATTGTTTGCTCTGTTGAATACCAGTCAATAATACATTAAATATATTGTGATTGTTTTTAAGATAGACGGAATATCTGTTACACTTTTCTGGATGAAATGTTTCTAAATGTCTAGTGTAAGATCAATCTCACCTGTGTTTTGTTTTTAAAATGCATTTAGATGCTGGAGAAAGCAACTGATGGTGGCAAAGGATACTAGACGTGTTGACATACTATGCTACCGTGTTTCCTTGAGCCAAAGAATTTTACAAGGGACTGAAAAGTATAAAAAACTTTATGAAATTGTTAACGAGGCGGTGAGGAAACTTGAACCTGAATTAGGCCCATTAACTAGTTCACCAGTGAAGATTGGTAGGGGCATTGTGAACAGACTTTCGTCAGGGCCAGAGGTTCAGAAACTATGTGGTTTGGCTTTGGAATCATTAGATTCTTTTCTTTCTAAAAGGGTTGTGCCTCCATCACCTAATCCAACAACTCAAGGTTATCACTCATCTTTTTATTTTGTGTGCCCAAGTGAGGGTATGTTGACCTTTTTTTAATAAACATTGTTGGGAGGGGTCTACTCTGTTTCCTTAGTATCTTGGGGGAGAATAACCTTTGTAGCCAGTGGAGTATAATCCTCATGCATACCGTAATATATGTGTGTGAGAAAAAATTCACCTACTGATAAGATGGTGATGTGCTTATTAACATACTAAATGTGTTGTTTGTAAGTTCTTATTTTCATTTATTTTCTACAATGATTTATATCAGACAGTACTTTATTTGAAACTCTTGTATTTATTTCTATTGACATGAATACAGTATAGCAAAGCACGTTACAATTATAAGGTAATTCTTTTCCCTTGGATAGGGATTCTTGAAATTAAATTCGTATTTATTTGGCTTTCTGTGATTGCATTTGACCTTTTCAGATGCAAATTTGATTGCAACAAATATGGTGAGATTCGAAGATGTCAGAGATACATCCCTGACTGTGATTTTGGGTTCTGAAGATCCTTTGGAAGAAAATATCAGTGGCTATTCCCTTTGGCATCGCAAGGCTCTTGATGTGGAATATCCAGTTGAACCTACTTGTACTTTGGTTCTACCTGACCGAAGTTTCAATATAAGGAGTTTAATTCCAGCTACAAAATATAGTTTCAAAGTTGTTTCCTATAATGGCACAAGGGAGATGGGTACGTGTGAGGTACAAATCTCAACAGAGCCTGGCGAGTATGAAGTTCCTAACTGTTCAGCAACGGAAAGAAGTCAGAGCCCAGTAACCAACTGTAGCAGCCATTCCAATCCTTCATCAGTGGAAGATGAAACCAACAACAGCAATCCATTTAGTGATCAGACCGATGATCGGGCAGATAATTATCTTGCTTATAGCAAGGATGCTGACAAGCTTGCTTCTGAAAATTTATCCAATGATGTTATTAAATGTTCCAACACCGTTGGAGGTGGACTGCCTGCTGATGCAGATTCTCTGTCAGAAAAGCAACGTGGCAGAGGCTTGGCTGTAACCATACCTGGTTCTGAAATGCTAAAGCTTGAAAACAACCATTCACCAGAGGGACAAATCACTGAGGACTTGAGCACTGACGATGGGTTGAATTCCCCTGTTCAGATTGGGAGGGAATGTGTGCCACTGGTGCGTAGCTCGGAAGCAAGCTTGCCTATTACTCCTTGCAAGTTGGAAATACTTAAGGACGGGCCAGGAAGAAGTGGTAGATCCAAGTCCTCAGGCAAGGATCAAGAGAATGGTTCCGGGAAGAGAGAGGGTCCTCAGGATGGAAGCACATCTAAGAAGAGAGCTGAACAGAGGCAAGATGAGGTTTGTTGTTGCCAATGGGTATTCGGATCGGGATTTTGAGTATTACGTGAAAGTGATCAGATGGCTTGAGTGTGAAGGACACATAGAAAAGAACTTCAGACAGAAATTTTTGACTTGGTACAGCTTGAGAGCCACGCCACAGGAAGTAAAGATTGTGAAAGTATATATTGATACATTTCTTGATGATCCACCTTCTCTTGCTGAGCAGCTTGTGGACACCTTCTCAGAATGCATATCAAACAAGAGACCATCTGTTGTGCCAGCTGGGTTCTGCATGAAGCTCTGGCATTGACCATATTTTGTAGGTCCTGCTACTTGCTTGATGATTAAGCCCCAACTGGCTTGTGCTGCAGTAATTCTTTAGATCATCAATATTTTTCTTTTGAACAGTTGCCTGTATTTTACCATGGTCATTCATATGATGATGTAAAGATGATATATTCACTCTTTGAGAACGGTTACAGTTTCAATTTGTGAATTAACTAGCATTTATATGAATGTTGAAATGTTGGTAGATGACTTGAATAATTTGTATCAAACAACTCCATCTCTAGACTATAAGCAGGGTAGGCCGGTTTGGGCAGCATTAGCTTTGCCTTCTGCCCAGCCTGAAACACCACTGGGTTAGCATTTTTGACCCACAGCCTAGTTCAGCACATGCTGACGCGGCATCTCACGCTTGGTCAGGCCGGCTGGTCAGTATTGAAACAAGGGTTGGCTTCATGAAGGCTGACAAAGTGGGAACGTTTTGGGTCCTCTTCAATATGCAATTTTCTAAGAAATCCAGTGCTACCAAGTCTTTTGGGGGGAAAAAATTATGTGCCCCATTTGGCAATGGGTCTTGGCTCTGCCAATGACTTTACAAGGACTTCAATCCCACTGGAAACGAAGATTTTGCACAACGTTGCAAAGGAGATTGATGCATTTTTTTGAGTATCCATAGCATGAATTTGATATCTTTCTATCCCTTTTCTCCATGCTTGAATATTTCTCTCAAGATGACTGCACAACATCCCAGTTGACTAATATCCAAATAACATCCTGTTCGTCTATGTTAGAATAATTTGAGCATCAGCCCTATAATAATTTGATATTTTTCCATCCCTTTTACCTGTAAACACGTTCATTTTCGAGTTTATTGGATCTTCATTCTAGGGCCTGTTTATGCTCTGAAACCGTGGTTTCAACACTTTTCCAGAGGTAACCTCCTTTTACTTCGTAATCACTTCTGAAACTATAGTTTGGTTTTCATCTAAACACTCCTAGTCTATGAATACTGTAGTAAGGAAGGATCTTGTTTTCACTTCCAGAGCGCAAAAACGACAAGGCGTTTTGCATTTCCCCCACGACGATTGTTGTTTCATTCAAATGGAGCACTGTTTCCTTTTACTCTAGTACTCTGGTTTCAGTGCGCAATCTTCTCAAAGGCCAACGCATCATGCCAGGCGGTGATACGCGCGCGCGCGCACGCATATATTTCCTCTAGTCAGCCAGGCATTCTCAAGCATTTCTTCGATTCTAATTCTAATTATAAACAGTTGACTAATTTGAGGGATTAAAAAAATAAGTTAAGTTAGTTATTTGCTCAAAATAGGTGTTGTTTTTCTAAAATATCCTTACTAATCAAATGTATTAACTAAAACTATAATTATTAGAAGGGTTATTTTGGAAAAAATTAATTAAATATGGAGACAAAGTGATTGGGTCTTATATTTAGAACCAAAATAAAAATCAAATAAGATCTTATATTAAGGATAGGAGGTAGTAATTCTTATCTAACAAGGAATGATAATTAAAACATTAAATTTTGGATTTTTTTTTTTTCAAGTTTAGCCTAAGTTAAATGATATGGATAGAGAAATAGAGTTTGATAAGTTTATTAAAACTAAACTTAATTAATTAAGAGTAAAATTGAAATGTAGTGATTAATAAGTTGATCAAAAATTGCTTCTAAGATCCTAATAATAAGCACGGTATAGACACATGCAAGAACGAATGATGCTAACTTTTCACCCAAAAAAAAAAAAAAGGACGAATAATGCTAACGGTGTCTGACTGGTACTTCGCAGGCGCCTTGAATCCCGAAACGCGGGAGCTCCAGACTGCTCTCATGAACAAAAAATTGGCAAGTACAGTGTTTCCACATCTACTAGAAGAATGTCTGGGTATGAGAGAGCTGAAGCAAATCCATGCTTCTGCTATTACCCACGGTCTTGCTCGATTCGCCTATATCGCTAGCAAAATTCTGGCTTTCTGTGCTAAATCAGAACACAAGGATTTGCCCTATGCGGAGACGCTTTTCAATCACATGATGACGCCCAATGTCTTTGATTGTAATTCTATGATAATGGGTTTCTCGAGTAATTCAGACTTCGACAAGGTTTTCTCTATTTTCAACCGAATGCCTGGACTTGGCACACGTCCTAATGCTCGAACTTTCACTTTTGTGGTCAAATCATGCGTTTCTTTGTCTTTACTTGAACAGGTTCATACTCAGATAGTAAAGTTGGGGAATTTCTCTGATGTTCATGTTGTTAGCTCTTTGTTAAATATGTATTCTAAACAAGGAGCAATTCAAGGTGCTCGCAAATTGTTTGATGAAAGTCCTCATAAAAATGTGGTTTGCTGGACCAGCCTTATCAGTGGTTATTGTGACAATGGTTTGGTCAATGAAGCTCGGAATTTATTTGACGCAATTCCTCAAAGAAATGATGTTTCCTATAGTGCAATGGTATCTGGATACGTCAAGAATGCTTTCTTCAATGAGGGAATTGAGCTCTTTCGCGAGATAAAGAATTCCGGAAATCTGAAGCCGAATAAGTCTCTTTTAGTGAGTGTTCTTACTGCCTGTGCGGCTGTAGGTGCCTTTGAAGATGGTAAATGGATTCACTCTTACATTGTTGAAAATGGTTTTGAATATGAACTTGAAATTGGTACTGCATTGATTGATTTCTTTGCAAAATGCGGATGCGTTCAAGAAGCAGAATGTATATTTAGTAATCTGTCGGAGAAAGATGTTACTACTTGGAGTGTTATGATCTTGGGTTTGGGGATTAATGGAAGGAACCAGCAGGCACTTGATCTCTTCACGCAGATGGAAACGATTGGACCCAAACCAAATGCCGTGACTTTCGTTGGTGTTCTTAATGCTTGCAATCACAAATTTCTGTTGGATGAAGCATGGAGATTATTTGGGCGTATGTATAAAGTTTATGGCATATTACCATCCATTGAGCACTACGGATGCATGGTTGATCTGTTGGCCCGAGCTAGACGAACTAAAGAGGCTGAAGTACTGATAAAAACCATGCCAATGAAACCTGATGGAGCTATATGGGGGTCAATTCTCAATGGGTGTCTGATACATGGTGATACTGAGTTGGGGCTGAGAGTTGGGAAGCTCTTGATTAAATTAGAGCCTCAACATAGTGGGAGATACGTCCTTCTGGCAAACATGTATGCCGGCATGGGTAAATGGGAGAGTGTTTCTGAGATGAGGAAAATGATGAAAGACCGAGGAGTACTACCAATCTCTGCTTGGAGTTTCATAGAGATTGATCAAATTGTCCACAGATTTGTTGTTGATGATAAGTCTCATTCTTGTTTAGGGGATATCTATAGTGTTTTGAGTCTATTGGGAAAGGAACTTGAGGATTTTTGTGTTGCAGAGGATGCAAGTTTTATTTAAAATATCAATGTCTTTTGGGCAAAAAGTTTCAGACTGGAAATTCACATGCCTGCAAGACATGTCCAGGGCAAACTTTAAAATTTTCTCCTTGGAGACAAAGGCTCAATCCTTCAAAGAGTTAACATGTCTTGTGGTTTGTGAATTCAGCAATGAGGTTGGCTTCTGAGCACGGTAAAAATCCATTCTTTGTTTGGACTGTAAAGACGGTGTTTGAGATCAGCATGTCCACGTTGAGCCAAATGGATCAGCAAAGTCAAAATAAAAAGGAGGACTCCTTTGTCTATGTTTTATTCAAATGGTTAGGTTGTCTTTCAACTTGCTGGCGGAAAGTCATCGGTGAAACCAGGGATTGGTGGGCCCCTACATTCATCGTAAATGTTAGTTCTGCTAGCAGAACTTGAAAACGCATATTTCTAGATTCCAATTATTTCTATGCATATAATATTATTAGAAAGAGATTAAAATTTTTTAAAAAAAATAAAAAATAAAAAACTGAAATAATTTCATATCCTTTTTATTCTTGTGCTTTCTTCTTATTGTACTATAATATTATTAGAAAAGATGTGAAGTATCTTTTAAGATTTAGGTAAATGAATCTAATTTGAAATACTACCACCACCTAGTACCCATTGTTTTCTTAAACTGCGTTCTCTCCAAATAGTTCATTTATCATTCCAGATCACCCTAGCCGAATCCGGTTGTCGCTTTGTCCAACTGATTCTACCTCATTCAAGATTAAATCTTCAAGTAATATTAGAATTATACTACTACTGATCCCATCCTCTCTTTCAATCAACCCAAATCAGTTTTATTTCAATTGAATCTACCCTCTCTCTTCCAATCAACTTCCCTGTCAAGACCCCCTTGGGAAAAATGTCTTCTGCAACTTTTACAGGTCCAATTTCTGGGACTGGCTTTGTTGGTCTGAAATCTAATTCCTCAAATCTCTGTCTGAGTACTGGTTCCATTGGCTGGGAAAAGAAAACTGTCTCCAATGGCTCTAAAGCTTACTGCATGAAGGTGAAGTGATCCGGTGAATGATCTTGTAATTGATAGGAGACTGAAATGAAATCAGTAATTTCCCCCTCCTTTCTTATATGATTCTGTGTGTGTGTTCAAACAGACATGGAATCCCATCAACAACAAGAAGTTCGAAACCCTCTCCTACCTCCCTCCACTCTCCGATGAATCCGTGGCAAAGGAGATTGACTACATGCTTAAGAAAGGATGGATACCTTGCCTTGAATTTGATGAGGTATGTTTCAAACGAACAAGTATGATATATCAGATTTCTTCTCATCCTCTTTTAGTTTAAAAGTAATAGATGTATTATGATTGCTCATGCAACTGTTTAATTTTTCCCTGTGTGATATACTCTGTTTGAGAGATCTATATAATAATTTGTCCAACATTCAAAGAGGGATTACATGATTGTAAAAGTGGAAGGGAAACTTATGTGATCCTAATATTCATTCATTATTCGTATGATCTCTGCTTTTATGGTTTAACTAATTTGAGCAGAATCCCCACGAATGGACTGGAGAACAAGATATTCATTCTATTTTATGAATATTTATATTGATGCTTCAATTTTGAAAGACTTGTATTATATACATCTGCGTAACATGAAGGTCTGTGTTGTGTTGGAACATGGAAGGTGGGATGTATTAGGAGAGAGAACAGCCAGATGCCAGGGTACTATGACGGAAGGTATTGGACACTGTGGAAACTACCAATGTTTGGGTGTACAGATCCATCTCAAGTGCTGAATGAGATCCACGAATGTAAGAAGACATATCCAAATGCATATATTCGCTGTTTGGCATTTGACAACAAGCGCCACATGCAGGCGATGGCCTTCATCATCCAGAGACCTACCACCACTTGAGCTTCCATATTCTGATGATCATCTTTCCCTTCATTTCATTTTCCTTTTTCCGTTTTCCATTTTCCTGTTGGTTGAAGTAAAATAATTGGTGTTCACTGGTCTTGCTGGAAGAAGAAAAAGAACTTGTCATGCCATGCCTCCACTTGTTGGAGGGGACTAGAAATCTGATCTGATTTAGCTTTTCGAAGTGGTTTGATGTTGCTGATGTGTGAAACAGCCCATAGTTTTGTGTTGTTTAAATTTAGTGTAATCATCAAGTTGGACCACCCCCCCCCTTTCACATAAATGAAGCTTGGGTTAGTGGGTTAGGTATTTGAAACTCCAGCCTTCTTTTTCCTAGGAACTCATGAGAGTTGTCTTTGACGGAGACAGCGAGGCAAATGGAATGCTTGAAGTGTGATCTGCCACTCTGGATGATATTTTTAATTTTATACTCTTTCCGGTCCTTAATGTATAAAATATACTCTACCTGGTCTATAATATAAGTTGGTTACTTTTTCTCATGTATTATAAAAAAAAAAAAAAGTTTATTTATTAAATGTGTCCTCAAGTGATAAAGTTTTCTCATGGTTTTGGTTGAATGGCATTGCTAATTTTCTTTCATAAATTATCAAGCTTTGGGTACACATTAAATGAAAATCATATTTTAATTAATTTAATAATCCAAAGGTCACATTAAAAGAAAATTACTTGCAGAGATTAATTAAAATTTCACTAAGGAAAAATAGTACTTCGTTCTAAATATTTCTTTTGTGATCTATTTAATTCTCTAATTAAAAACGCCCAACAATTGTTTTTATATATGAAGTTCACTTTCTGTCTTTTCCCAATTTAGGGTAATTGACAAAGCCATCGTCGAATATGGCTGCCCCTCTTTTTGTATCACCGATGCTTGTTAAATTTCGCATACTATAAATTAATTAATGCGACTTTTTCCCCCCCACAATTCACGTCATCATTTGGTGCATTGAAAATGGTCAAAGATAATATAAATTAATATCGTTACGTTTCTCCCTCCACTGCGACGCACAAAGGATTCCATAAGTTTATATGAAGATTTTTTTTTTTTTTAATTTCGATTATGGTCATACAATCCAATCAAAATCATGATATGAAATTTTACACCCAAGAAAAAAATTACTACCATTTGCTAAGATTCAGTCAGGGTCATTATTATCGATTCTATCCACAGAACACACTTAATATTTCTCTTATCACTGATCCGCCCTTGCCATAATGAGGACGGCCACCACTGTGGCTACCACCACCAATGTTGATAATGCAACCATTACCATCACTTAATCGCCACCGCAGCCAACATCACTGCCACAACCATGACTTTCACAGTATTATCATTAACCGGGTCATAACGATCACCATAGTTACCATACCCTCTATTCCTATTTACAAGTCTTAACCAAATCATAAAAGATAGATAGACATGGTTGAAATTAGCACCCCCCCCCCCCCCCCAAAACACTTTATCGTTGTAAAGAGTCTGATGAAAAGAAAGGGATTTCTACTTTCACCTTTGCCATCACAGTTCCTTTCAACCCCACAACAAACACAATGCCATCATCACTTCTACAACTCTAAACGATAACTCCAGATCAAGGTAAAGTCCACTGAATGCGCTGATAGTAATAAATCTCGAACATAAAAAGATATAAAGAATGCTAGCTCCAATAGTATTTGAGAAAAGAAGACGCGATCCAATAACTTGCTCATGTAACCAAAATAGACATGGAAGAAGCCAAATACACGCAAGCCTACGCTTCTTCTAAGATAGGCACAAATCATGATATCTTTCCATATCAAATGAAATCAACCAACAGCACAAATTAGCTCCATTTAAAATTTAATCCCTTAAATTTCTAAGGATTGTACCTACACATCTAAGGAAATGGTTTATATGTGAATAAGCACCAATGAACTTTCAGAACCTCCTGGTCATACCCATCTCTCCGCATAATTATGATATAAAACAATTGATCCCAGACGCTGAAAAATTCAATAATTTTGAGTGCCACTTTCAAGCATGGAAATGTATGGGGGAAAAAATCAGATGCCATATAACAACTACACAGGACGTTAAGCTCAAGGTAGGACAGGATGTTAAATGCCCCACAGGAACAACTCAAATTCTTACACACTTTTTTGGTTCCTACCAAGCACCCACGAGGGTTTCAGTCATCAAAGGTTCTCCATAATTGAACCATCCCAGAAGGATTTGCCATCTGCAAATTGAAATATAAAGATGATTTAGAAAAGACAGCAGGTAAAAAGATAATAATACAAACGTTTTCTTCATCTATTGTAGCCAAGAGACAAGCAACCAACATAAAGAGTCACCACCAAATATCACTAGTCATACAATATGAAAACCGTAGATGCAATAATAACCTTAACCCTCATTGAAATTCATGCTTTTACTAAGGCTAAGACTAGCCTGAAGATACTTTGAAAAGCTTAGAAAAAAATATCAGAAAAAGTTATCAAAATGGCACGATTCAAATTGTGAGATTTTCAATAGTTCCACAACCTTCCAGCAATACAAATCACCAAGACATTCAAGAAAGCATTGAATATGACATGAACACTTCAATTGTGACAATTAAGCTTGGCAATGACTAATATACGCTTCTGCAGCGCAGCTGCATTTCTGATGGGTTCTGAAGTTGGATCCGTTGAAACTTAAATGTATGTTTTTCACACCTTGTTTGTTTTCACTTTACAACTAATACAGAAGTCCTAATTTGAAACCGCACGGTGCACTTACGGTTAAAAATAGTTTCATTTATTACTTTCGACAGCTCTTTTGAGTTTACATTAATCGATGAACCCCACGTTTGCTGAACCAGAAAACTGCTAATAATATCATAACAGAATGCTGCAAGAAGAAATGGAAAAAAAGAGAGGGGGGGGGTCAACTTCTGGGAAATCCTCTTGAATTTAGAAGCAATATTTTTTCCACAATTAAATTGAGCTACCTTTCATGATATATATATATATATAAATATATAACAATACAATAGTAACTAAAACTCTGGATTAGAATGATGAAGCTTGCGATACAAGAAACGCAATAAATCTAAAAGCTTGCGATGCTTTCGCTCAAAAAATTCGAAAAGGCGAAGAGGTATTATTTTGCTTTTTCATTTACTGGGATATAAGTTTCATTGTTAAATAATGAAACTTGAAAATTTAGCCACCTTATGCAGCTTTACAACCAACGGGGTATCAGCTACATCAGAAAGAAGATAGTCAGGTGGCCAGGATTACTAATCAATTAAACGAGAGTATTGATTTATAGATCCCTGAACGAGGGAGAGTTCAGCGTTAAAAATAGCCAGCTAAGAATTACTTCAGTCGCAGCAATTCAAACTTTAGCTAAAGTTGAAGAAAGAAGCACTACGAAGAGGCTTCAGTAGTACTATTTCCTAAACCTAACAGCAATTACCACCCTTCAAATATGAGATATCCCTAATCCACGTCATTATTTAATAGAAAGTAGGAGGAAGGAGAGAAACCCAACACACCTCAAAAACAGAGTTAATCTACCGATTCCTCTCCGCAGGCAATGGGCGATTAAAACCTCCTCGCCGGTTCATGTACTGCCTAGGCTGCCGCTTGGTCACTGCTCTAACACCACTCACGTCCGCACCAGGCACGGGCTTTCCTTTGGTCGAATCAAACCCGATCGGAATCCCTAATTTCTTCATCATCTCCATCTCATCCCCGTCCATCCCATTTTCTCCCTCCGCTCCCCCATTATCACCGCCACTGTCATTATCCTTGTGCTTCTGCTGCTGCTCCTTCGCAATTCCATCCACAAAATCAGAGACCACTTTCTTCGTATCCCTATTATCTTCAGCAGTAGATTCTCTGCGATGACGCTTCCTGTGAGGTTCAGGCGAAGGTGTCCGGTGGTGATGGTGCCGCCGGCGGAGGGACCGCTCTCCGGGAGAACGTGAACGGGAGTGAGAACGGTAACGGTCAGGAGAACGCGTGCGGGAGCGCGTGTGGCGGGATCTGCCCCTGTCAGGTGTGCGAGAACGGGATCTCTTGCTGCGTATTCGATCGCGATCTCGGTCTCGGTCTCGGTCTCGCTCGCGTTCGCGTTCCCGTTCTCGTTCACGGTCACGATCTTCCTTGTCTCGTCTCCTTTCTCGATCTCGGTCTCGCTCGCGAGCTCGGTCGCGGTCGGTCATGGTGCGAGGCAGTGTTTGATTTCATGGATAGCTTTCGGCCCTATATGGCCTTCACTTTCCCAATTCCTGAACAGGAGAAACTCAAAACCCCAAATTATTATCTCCTAAAACCCTAGGGATTTTCAAGTAATTTTTTATAAAATGGACCAGTAAAGGGGGAAAAAAATTAAAGGGCGTTTTAGCCCTTTTATAGGCCAGCAGTATCCTAAACTATGGTAATTATAAGGAGGCAGTTTGGTTCAAAGGATCATAAAAAATTGAAACAGCAGGGAATTTAATGTAGTAATAAATAATTATACAGTATTTATTTGGAATAAAATAAACATGAAATGGTCTTTTTAGCTCTATTACAAATGTCTAAAAATTGACTCATTAAAGATATAAATATTGATACCATGATTGTGGGCAATATATATTTATATATGTATATCGATATTTTGATTAATGTAATTTTGGATTATATCATCCACATTCTTAATATAAGACTTAATAGATGACTAGTTTTGAGAAATTAAAAAAAATAAAAAGTTAATTGTAATATATACTCCCTCCATTTCTTATTATAAGAGACAAATAACCAAATTACGTTGATTAAAAAAACAGTTAAAATTAGTTGAGGATAATTTTTTTTTACCAGAAAGTTGAGAACAATTAATGTGTAAAAAGTATAATGTTTTTTCTAACAGTGCCTCCATTAATAAGGAGAGAGAGTATAAGAGAGAACAATTAAATTATTAAAAGAAAGAGAAGTGGGAGGGAGTGAGAGTATAAGTTGGAGACAAAATAAATAGAGATAAAATAGAAAATCAATACAAAAAAATATAGACAACTTTTAAGTGTCTCTTATATATGGGAACATGCTATAAGTATCAAATGTCTTTTATAATAAGAAACGGAGGAAGTATTATATGATCTTTATAAAATACATATGTATGAGTGTGTATATATCATCATCATATTATATATTAGTTTATAAGCCCAATAAATTGATTTAAAGGAAGACGATAAAATAATATATTAAAATAATTTATCAGACTTTCTTAATTATTTCAAATTAATCAATTGGTTTTTGTATGATATTGTTTGGGAACCAATTTCGGTGTTTATTACTTTGATTAGCATTTTAAGCTTATCAAATTTAGATCGTTCATATCTCATTTGGATGGTTCAGATTTGATTTCTTTTTTATTTTTATTTGTTTAAAATAATTATTTTAATATATATAGAATCTAAAATAAAAATAATCTCTTGACTATCATTCTTTCAAAAAATAATTTTTTATTTAAAAATAATTAATTGAAAATTGAAAATTTAGACTGTTTAAATCAGATGTAGACTGTCTAAATTTGATAAGCTTATGATGCTCATCAAGTTGATAAGCTCAGAGGGGGGGATAGCTAGTCAGGGGATTTAACACTTTATATACCCAAGCGGGAATCAAACCCCCAACCTTAGTTAAAAGAGAATGAGTCATTACCACTCAACCACACACCCCTAGTTGGTAGTGTGTTTATTTACTGTCAGATATCCTCTCTTTGTTGGACACAGAGCAGTATGTTGAGATTATTTTGTAAGGTGTTGTATAAAAACCAAACTATGATTTTAAAAATGATTTTACGATATATAAAATAAGTATATAAGAAAAATTTTATCTCGACTTGTGTAAAAAGTACTTTTGGAGAGAACTAAACACGTTTTTGTGACAAAAGAGGGATGTTCTTCAACAAATTTTGGAGGTTAATATTTGCACTGGAGAGAACAATCAGTGTTTTGCAAACGGAAACAATTTTGCAGTTCAGAAAAGGAATGTTGGTTAATGATGTATTTCAATTATGCTCCGTTTGGGCTGTTGGACCTTTGTTTCCTTTGTCAATGAAGTTTCTGCTTGTTAACTAAAAAAGAGGATACGAGGCAGCATAACATTATTAAAGTTGTGTAATGAGGATTACATACATGTCATGCTACAATCGGGATTGTATTAGATAACTTTACTCAAGCGGGGAAACTACCGCAAGACAATTTTGGGAAGCCAATAGATGGCATATGCATGAAGGATAGAGCTGCTGAAAAGAATCATATATAATACATCTGGTCCTAATTAGATTACAAATAAAGTCTTATAATTAGAATCAGAGGTAATATGTTATTTTATACCTCTCGCGATGATTGCTCTTGTTGTTGAGAGATGCGAATAGTTGGTTGCTGGAAGGTTTTTCCATGTTAACATCAAGATAGATTCCTTGTTGATGGCAGAATCTGCATGCGGCAATGTCGGAAGCTTTTCCATATGCATTACATAATTAATTAGCTATGCGACGTGCTGTTAGAAATTGACAACCAGATTTTAATTTGGTCAAGTGTGTAAATAGAGAATCAATGTGTGTCTCCAGAATGAAAAAAATGTGATACTTTGATATAGAACATCCTTGCTGTAAGCAACTTTGTGAGGAATCATTGTTGTATAGGAAGCAAATTTGGTAGCCAATATTGGAGTACTAAGATTTCGTTAATTGGAGGGTTATGTTCTTCTGATTAGGTGATGAGACCTCCGAATCTTGAAAAGCTGCTTATGGTTGGTCTCAATGATGCATCTTTTGGTATTATTTGTTACTTCTTGTATTTTGGAGACTCTTTGAATTTCCATTCTTTAGTCTGGGTTTGTATTCTTGGGGGGAAAAGAAAAACAAACTTTAATGTATGCTGCCAACCAAACACTTGAATTGGCAAAATTTGATGCTATGACATTGAATCGGACGGGTCACTATTGCATACTGTCATCCTCCAGAAGAGGGATATTGACAACTAAATCGGTAAATCCTATAAAACGGTGAAATGCCATTGTTTTCCTATCATAATTTTAAAGAGAAAAATACTTAAGTCAAGTTTTTTACATTTATTAAGTTCTTTAATTACATATAGCCATGTGTTTTTTTCATATGAATTTATAATTAAGTATTATTTAATGTTAATATTTCAAAAAGTATAACACGTAGTCCTGAGTAATTACAAAACTAGGTATATTGAATACAAGAAAGTTGACGTAAGTATTATCCTAAGTTAAAAATCAAAGTGCATTTATTTTAATCCATTTTTTTCAAGTAAAAATCCTCTTCCCCCTCATTGGCATTGGAGCCACCTTCAGCAGTTATAGCTCAGTCGCCAGGTGCGGGAGCTATATCCCCAAGTAGAATGCCCTACCCATTACCCAAGACCTCAGCATTCTTAAAATAACTCTAGATTTTAGTTCTTACAATTTAATCGAATTTTAATTTTGATTCGCATGGTTTCAAAAAGATGGTTTTGATTTTTATAATTTCATAAGGATTTGATCCAAGTTTAGGTATAAGAATTAAAATCAAAACTGGTTATAAAAGTGTATACTAATCTTGTTAAAATCAAATCAAATCAAATCCTTATGAAACTAAAGGGACAAAAACCAACTATTTAAAATTACAAGAAACAAAACCAAAACTCAATTAAACTTCAGGAACTAAAAGTAATATTAACCCTATAAAGAAGTCTGTAAGAATTCATAACATTTTTATAGGAATTTAACAAAATTTATTGTTCATGATAAAACCCAATTATTGTTAACAAGTAGATTATAATTACTAACAAATTGTTGGTTAAGATGATAAGTAATTTTGGAGAGATTTTAACATTAACGTTTCCAACCTGACAAAGATTAGTCTCAAGATTAGTCTCAAATGTGTACTTTGGCTTATATTAAAACACAAGCAGATTATAATTATAAGAATTCATAACTCATGCTATCTTAAATTGGTCCAGTTTATTAGACCACATAAGGTTGTAGTACTGGAAAAGGAAATATCAAAGCTTAAGATGCAACACGAATCGTCCTCGTACAAATCACAGCAACTTCACAACAATACCATAATGCATACAACCGGCAGATTCAAGATAAACCGTGCTTATTCTACCCTCACGCATGGGATATTGTCTTTGTTCTTTTACAAACATATCAAACACGCAAATGAGAAGCTGAAAACGAAACAGAACAAAACAATAAACCATCATATCCACGGTGCGGCCTCATTCTCCACAGAAAGACTAGTACATTGCCATGCGCATGATGCACGCTTCTTCGACATCTGATGAATATATATAGAGCCATATACTCAGATTGGATTTGCTTTCATATCTTGTTTTTTTAATTCCTAATTCATTAATTCACTTACTACAAAACAGTTTGGAATTAAATCCTATGTATTGTTATCACGTAGGAGAATCTTACCTCTGAGGAATCAAAATGAAAGCTCTTTCTCTCAATAGGCATTCTGTCATACATAGACAATAAAAGAGAGAAATATTAAATCAGTTTCGCATGTCGACAGCCGAAAAGGAAAATTCAACACGCACTGAAATTATTACCACCAAGTAACCAAACAAAGTAACGTAAAAAAATTTCCTGGCCAAAAAAATTAATATAACCCAATTTATATAATAATATTTGAAAATTAAATACACAACCTAATATTTATGGCAGCACACACACACACACGGCTCTTGTTGACCAGCAATGTACATATGTGTGGCTCTAAATTCATTTGAAGATAATTAAACAAAATAAAACATTAATTGAAACATATAATTTTAATTTTACTTCTGTTACTTACTATTTTCGTCTTTTGCTCATATATAATTTTTTATCAAATAACAAATCATATATTCCTATATTATAAAAAATATTTATTTTTAATATTTTTAATGTCATGTAATTTTATTTCCCAATGAACATATGTTTTAGTTATCACGACAATCAAAAGTGCCTTCCTAAAATACTTCTTAACGAGAAGTAAAATTTAATCATGAGATAAATTCTTTCATCCATGGCAGCACTGCTCAAGTCATATAAATTGAGAGATACGTTACCAGCTGTCTTCCAGATGAAAACCTTGAGAGAAAACCATACCAACAAATACACAACAGTGAGATCAAATATGGAAAGTCCAATAAGCTAGAAATGCAATTAATTACCTTTTAAGAATTGTTGATATCAGTAAATTTAGCCTGAAAAAATTCCTTTGCCATTGAGTCCTCCCACTCTAAATTGTCCCACCATCGTGTTTCTCCTCTTATATGCTTCAAAGTATTTGTTGCAGAGTTACGATCAAGAGGAAGCTTGTTCAAATTATTGCATCCAGTTATCTCCATGACAATAAGTTTAGGAAAAGGCAACGTTTTCTTGCAGACGCTCCATAGTCTTGGCAGCCTTGTCAAAACCATCGAATCTAAATTTCCAAATACGCTATCCACATCTTCTTCGATTTCCATAATCACTTCTTCGAGTGAAAGACAATTAACTAATTTGAGAGAACGAAGGACTGGAGCAAACCTGAGCCATGTCAAATGAGTTACTGAAAAACTGTCCAAAATTTGGACCTCACTAAGCTGCCGAAATATATCAATCTGATGATCAACAAGGGACGACTCTTCCAACCAGTGTCGCCATGCAACCAGATGAATCACCTCCAAAAGTTCCATTTTTGACAGAGATTGTGTTACTGGTGCGTTGATAGTTTCAGTAGTCTCCTCATTTTGTTGATGAATTAATCCAACATTTCTGATGCAATGCCGCAACTTGTCTGAGCTAAGTAATTTGTTGATGCCTGAGGGAGTCTCTAAGGTGAGGCTTATGTCCTCCAAGAATGGTAGCTGCTCTAAGCGCTCCAGAAATGATTTCTCTTGTAAATATGGCGAAGTGAACGAGGTGGATGACGAAGGGTCCTCATTTGTGGTTTCTGAGGACCTTATCTCTCGCCAAAACGAGAACACCATCAAACTCTTAAGACAAGATATAACCTCTTTAGAGATGACTTCAAGACTGAAATGAACGTGTTCTAGGAGAAACACTCTCAATCTCGTCAAGTTGATCATCTCTACCGGAAGATTTTCCTGAATATTGAGATATGACAAGTCCAGATATTCCAAGTGAATTAGTCGACCTATTTCTTTGGGCAGTGTGGTTATCCCCTGAATGTGCCTCAAACTTAGAACTTTTAATTTGCTCATGGATCCCACCTTCTCGAAATCTTTTATCTGTACCTTGTTGCACCATACTATTAAGGTCTCAGCATTAGGGCAGACAGGACCATCCCAAGTTAGGACCTCTTGAGCATGGTTGTCACTTACTGAAATCTTCTCTACAGTCTTCCATTTCTCACCATCACATTCCTGTGATGATCTCAATGCTTCATCTTGCACCAGAACTTTGTCTCTCCTCTGATCTTGGTCACGAGCCAACCATAATGCCATTTGTCGAATCACATTGTGCATCTTGACGCTATTATCTCCATAATCTTCCAACAAAGATGCTACCATTAGGTTTTCAACCACTTCTACGCCATGATTGATGGCATCTTGTATGCTATCATGGTTCCCAAGTAATCCCTCTCCAATCCACAGACGTATAAGATCAGGGACAGAAACGATTTCACCCTTTGGGAACAAAGCAAAATACAAGAAGCAGTTCTTTTCTATGGTAGTGGGAAGGCTATCGTAGCTGGACTTCAGAGTAATGAACACATCCTTCTCCATGCCTTTCACTTTGGAAGGGAAATTCTTGAGCTTCTTCAGGTTATGCTTCCATGATTGTAGTTTCTTTAGGCCAGCCACATCTTGTCCAACTGCTACCAATGCAGGCGGGAATCCTTCGCATTCTTGACTAAGTTCACGTGCAACCATGCCCAGAGCAGATTCTGAGTTTATACCTGCACTTCTGCACAACAAATCAAGAGCATCTTTTTCCTCCAAACATTCCACTTTGAACTTTTCAGCCTTCATTTGGTCACACACGTTTTCAAAGCGTGTTGCGATAAAAATTTTTGATCGATTGGCTTCATTTGGAGGCGGAACGCCAATGTCTTCCAGATTTAGTGCTCCACCTGCACCATCCAGAAATAAAATGTATTTTTTCCCTTTCAGCTCATTGAAAACTTCTTTCGCTTTGTAATCTCTACTTTTGCCCTCCCAATTCACATTATCAATTTTGCAGTTTTCGCGGAGATCATCAATAATTTTTTCTATATCACAGCCTCCAGCCATGTCAATCCAGATCACCAGAGCATTATCTTGTCTGGTAGTTACATCAGCGATCACACTATTATATACTTTTCTCATGAGTGTTGTTTTCCCTGACCCGCCCATGCCGTACAACCCAACAATACCCGAATTGTCTTCTCCAGTGAAATCTATCAACTTCTTTAGCTTTGAATCCATGCCTACAGTGTCAGGTAGAGGCATTTCATTCGCAAGCAGAAGTGGCCTCTCAAAATCATTATCGGCAGCAGCACTAAGCCCTTGTATTTTGTTTCCCAAAGCTCTTACGAGCTTATATGTCGTAAGAACATTTCTTGCCAGCCAATAGCGCGAGTGCCAGCCCATAACGGAAAAGCTTGCCGCCTGACTGTAAATTATTCCTATGCGCATAAAAATGTCCATGATAGCCTGTACGGGAAAAGGGGGGGGGGAGATCAACGTTTAAACCCATTCCATTTGGTATTTGTGTATTTTAAATTTGAGTTTAAGATAATTAATTATATATCAAGCTAATGGTACATGAAATCCTTTCTCATTATTACATCCTGTCTTTTTAAGTACATATGGAATAATCAGTTTAGTTACTGAGAGTCCAGCTAATTAAGACTCAATTTGTGAGGTCTCATAGATCTTCTGATTTCATATTTTAATTATATGTTTATGTTTTTTTATCATATTTATATGTTTATTAATATATAAAAACATCAATACTAAAACTATTAACTTCTAAAATAAATTATATTTTAAATAAAAAAGTCACTTTCTAAAGCTTTTTATGGTTGACAAATAACTTTTTGGGCTGAATCTTTCATGTTCATGTATTTTGAAACAAAAATTAATGTGTTGACTTTAATTTTGAGCAAAATGGCTGGACCATGATTTCATTAATCTATCAGCGGCCGGGATGACCACCACTAATTATTGCCACTTGTTTTCGTTTAGTGTGTTTATTTTATAAACTACATTTATCTTGGTGGGGATTTATTGCTTGGACTGAGGATTAGACTTGAAGTCTCATTCGATTGTTTCTTATATTTTTATGTGTAAGTATTAGTTGTTTCAAAGGGAAGGCTTCGGAGGTTTGAGGCTTCTAGATTCAAACGTCTATATTGCCCAGGCCACCATTTTCATATCGATCTAGAGAGAGTCAACGAAAATTTCTAATATAGAAAAGCTTGACACCTTTAATCAGTTATATGAAATTATGCATGCAATTGATTGTTTACATGACACGGGAGTTTACAGAATCATGAGTGTTTTATGTTTCTAACTGTCTATTTGGTATAAGAAAAATGGAGGAAAGAAAAAAAAATTGATAAGTTTGATTTAGGAAATTGAAGGAGTGAGATCATAAAATTTTAATAAATAATATACATAAGACAAAAGAGTAAGAAAATTTTATTAAAAGTTTTTATCTCATTTCCTCTAATTGTTGAAATCAAACTCATTAAAATTTCCTTTTTCCTGTCCTCCATCTCCCTCATACTAAACAGACACTCAGAATGTGGTCATGTGGTTTATCCATGGTTGAGATTTTTGTTTATAGAATTATATATATGTGTGTGTATATATTAATCAAACGTGTCTTGGTTGATATTTTGTACTAAATGGAGCCGCCGACACCTAGATTTTCGAGGTATGACATGTAAGAGCTCCCAAGCAATATAGTCCAATCGAGCTTACTTCATGTATCTTTTCTAATCATGTACTACCTCCGGTCCTTAATATAAGACCCTATTTGACTTTTATTTTGATCTTAAATATAAGACCCTAATCCACTTTGTCTCTCATATTTATATATATTTTTCTAAAGTAGCCCTTCTAATAATAAGAGTTCTAGTCAATACACTTGATTAACAAGGATATTTTAGGAAAAACGACACCTATTTAAGACAAATAACTAACTCAACCTACTTCCTTAATTTCCTCAAATTAGTCAACTGGCTCTTATAATTAGGACCGGAGGTAGTATATTGTAATTAGTTATTGATAGAAAATTCCTTATTATGTGCAATTAACTGGTATATTTTGAAAACAAAATTCTAAATTTAAGAAATAAAATTGATTGATATTTTATATTTAAAATCGAAGTAAATTTTTTGTGCAGATCCTATATTTAGAGCCAGAGGTAGTATATTTGATATCACAAGAATTAATATAAGAGATCAATAGCAAGGTAAATAACCTGCTCCATGGGATCAACAGCTTCAACCCAACGACGGACTCTTCCACTGCGTGGCCCATTATCTGGTATCATAAACCCAGCTGCTTCTATCGTTAACTTCGCTAAGCAGTATATGGGACGAAGTTGATCCCATCTCTGTGCTAAATTTTCTGCTTCTCCCTCAAGCCTAGAGAAAATGATAGAAAATGTTCTTGTTCTGAGAAACCTGAAAGACCTGAATGAATCAATGGTTCTTCTTACCACCAGCTGCCAACGAGCCATGGCTCATAGATCTCAGATCGATGGATGTTTGGAAGAGGATCAGAGCAAGAGTATACTGTGTTTGTGTTATAAACCTAACCTTATCACAAACTTGGTCAACCTCTGTTGTTTTTTCTCTTTTAATATTTGGCAGAATAGGCCTACGTTGAATTTAAATTGCCAAGTTGATGCAATCATATCCTTTCTACATGAGAGGGAGACAGGTGCATTCACTCGAGAAAATTATCCGTACATTTATATTCAATTTTTAATGTGGTTTTTATAACTTATAAATTTGAAAATATTTGCTTTTTTTTTCCATGAAATTTGAAAATATGGTCTTAGAGTTTATACTGTTTTAACTTATCTGTATTTATTGGAATTTTGATGTTATTTGAATAATTTTGGTAATATACTCCCTCCCGTCCTAATTACAGAAAGGGAAAATCACAATTAATGTTCCTCCGCTAAGCCATTACTTCTAATTACGAACTTTCAGTTATTGAAATTTTATTGAAAAACTATTAGAAGACAACTTCATTTCTACATGGGTTACCTGATTTTTTTTTTTTTGCCAAGTGGTTTACCTCAAAATTTATAATATAATTGATTGCATGCAATTTTGGTGGTCTCATAGACCATTTGGTAATTTATTTGAACGTGTTTTTTGAATAATTGGTATATGACTATGAAATTTGAGCGACCATAAAAACAAAAAAACAATTGCTGTCAAATCTCATCTCGACTCAGCAAATAAATTGTAAGTAAACAAATGATGAGGGGTAGTTGCAGTTTGTCGACATGTGAAAAGTCTTTAGTCTGAATAACTTTTTCTTTTCGTTTCACATCAGATTGGACCCATACATACATAATTGACAAAAACAGTTCATATATTTAATCTGGCTTGATTGGCCAAAAATTTTTTAAAAAAAATGGATCGAGTCCTTGTATCACCCGAAAAAATGGTTCAATCGGCTGTTTTCTAACAAAATAAGGGGACATTTTTTTAATCAAGACTTAAACCCAACGTCGTTGAGGCCGGACTAGACAGGACGACGGTCGGATCGATTCGGCCATTGACTTGCAAGAGTGACTATCTGTTTCGTAATGTTATATTCGCTCCATCTTTTTTATTTTATAAGCAACCTTCAACTCCATTAGGTAGATTAAAAAATTAGTTAAAGACAATAAATATGTAAAAAATTAAAAGTTTTTTTTATCTAAAATACTCTTATTTATGAAAGAGAGAAAATATGGATGGAGAGAGATAATGGTTTTAAAAAAAAGGTTAGTTACTTTTTTTTTTTGCCATGAAATTTGAAAATATGTACTTAGAGTTTATAATTGTTTAACTTATCAGAATTATTTATTGGAATTTTGATGTTATTTGAATAATTTTGGTAATATACTCCGGTCCTAATTACAGAAAGGAAAAATCACAATTAATGATCCTGCGCTCAACTATTACTTCTAATCACATACTCTCAATTATTGAAATAAATCATATTTTTGAAAACTTGTAATACCCGATTCGTTTGAAAATCGATCAGGTATGAGATTATGGAATCTGAATATATACAATTAATGAGATTTAAATAACATCTTAATTGAGATCTGAATAGATTGAATTAAATGGAAAACATTAGAAATAAATGCAATTTCAAATGGAGGCTCAAATGAAGAAATTAATAATTAATTTTGAATTTGCATAATATCTTAATTGGAATTTGAATATATTAAATTAAATGAAGAATATCATAATTAAATAGTACGTCAATTGGAGGCTTAAATGGATAAATAAATAATTAATTTCAAATTTTCATCTATTCCTCCTAAATTCCGCATCTCTAATTCAAATTCTATTAAAATAAATTAAAAAATATACTCCTGTTAGAAGTAAATCTTCAGCTATCTTAGATAATATAATTTATTAAAATTTTAAATCTAATCAAATATGCTAATCTGTACATCGCATGGCGGAGAAATTTCTAGTTTTATTGAAAAACTATTAGAGGATAACTTCATTTCTAAATGGGTTACCTGATTTTTTTTCCTAGTGGTCTACTTCAAAATTTATAATACAATTGATTGCATGCAATTTTGATGGTCTCATTGACCATTTGGTAATTTATTTGAACATGTTTTTGAATAATTGGTACATGACTATGAGATTTGAGAGACAAAAAAAAAAAAAACAGTTGATGTCGATTCTCATCTCGACTCAGCAAATGAATTACAAGTACGCAAATGATGAGGGGTAGTTGTAGTTTGTCGACATGTGAAAAGTCTTTATAGTCTGAATGACTTTTTCTTTCCACATCAAATTGGACATATACATACGTAATTGACAAAAACAGTTCATATATTTAATCTGGCTTGATTAGCCAAAATTTAAATAAAAAAAAAAAGAAAATTGGTTTGAGTCCTTTATCACCCGAAAAGATGGTTAAATAGGTGGACATATACATACGTAATTGACAAAAACAGTTCATATATTTAATCTGGCTTGATTAGCCAAAATTTAAATTAAAAAAAAAAGAAAATTGGTTTGAGTCCTTTATCACCCGAAAAGATGGTTAAATAGGCTGTTTTCTAAGAAAATGGTGGGGAACATACTTCATATTTCCATAATTAAATTATATTATCAATATATAAATTATTGAAGATTTAAGGGGACTTTTTTTTTTTTAAATCAAAACTTAAACCTAATGTTGTTGAGGCCGGACTAGACAGGACAGTCGGATCGATTCAGCCATCGCTTGCAAGAGTGACGATCTGTTTTGTAATGTTATACCTTTTAATATGTTAGGCCGGAATGAGCCGCTTTAAGCTGCAAACTGGAAAGCAGACAAGAACCGAAGCGGGTTGAGAAGAGCTGGCCAGGTTGAATTTCTATATAGAAAGAAAAAGAAAAGAAAGA